AAAATTGAAAACTCAATAGCTTATGGAAGTGAATGTTGAAAACTAAAAATAAATTTATTATTATTATTATTTTGGCTAGGAAATGGGGTTAAGTGACTTGCCCAGGGTCACACAGTAAGTGTCAAGTGTCTGAGGCTGAATTTTAACTCAGGTCCTCCTGACTCCAGGGCCCTTGCTCTATCCACTGTGCCACCTAGCTGCCCCTAAAAATAAATTAATTTAAAAAAAAAAAGATTTGTTCCGAAAAACATGGACTCAGTCAAAAAGCCACATCCAAGGACCTAGAAGACCACATGTGGCCTCGAGGCCCCAGGTTCCCGACCCCTGGACTAAGCTATTCTGAGTATTATAAACATTCAACTCAACTACAAAGGTGGGTACTATCCACTTCCAGAGAAAGAATTGATATATAGAACCATATGTTGTATAATTTGTGTAAAATCTGTGTCAAATATTGACCTCTAGTGCGGGGTTGGGAAGGAAGGAAGGAAACAGCTTGGTACTCAAATGTAACAAATAAAAAAGTAAAGTAAATGTTTTTTTAAATGTCCAGAGTGTCTCGTGGGAGATGCAAGGAGGCCAGTGTCACTGGATTGCAGAATACTTGGGGGTTGGGGTCTGCATGGAAGATTAGAAAGGTGGAACTGGGGGGGGCCTGGGAGTGGGGGTGAGCTATGCAGGGCTTTAAAAATCAGGGAGTTTTATATTTGACCCTGGAGGTAATGAGGAGCTACTGGAATTTTATTGCATAAATGAGTGACAAGGTCAGATCTATGCTTCAGAAAGGTCATTTCGAAGGCTGAGTGAAGGATGGCCTGTAATGGTGAAAGCTTTGTAACAGAAAGACCAATCAGCAGGTTACTGCAATAGTCTAGGTGCAATGTGATGGCCTACACCAAGGTAATGGCAGCTCAGAGGAGAGAAGGAGGCATATACATGAGATGTAATGCCATTTACATTGCTGTTTACAAAGGCAAAAAGTGACAGGCTTTGGCAACAGATTGAGTATGGGGTAGGTAAGAGTGAGAAGTTGAGAATGACACCTTGGTTGGGAGCTTGGGTGACTGGAAGGATGGGAGTATTTTCAACAGTAATAGGAAAGTTACGAAGAAGGGAGGGTTTAGAGGAAAAGATAGTAAGTTCAATTTTGGACATTGGGATGTTGAGGTTTAGAGGGTTAGGGGTGGTGGGACCCCAAAATCATGACATAGGGGTCCTGCCCGAATGAATTTGACCCAAGCCTTCTTTTAGCCAAAGACAAGGTTTATTAAAGATCTGCCATATTGACCAGACTCTTAAGGAATCTGAACATTTGTGAGCTATTGGCTAGATTACAAAAATCTGAGCATTTAGCTAGACTCTTAAAGAATCTGAGGCTCTTAATGGAGACAAGATGGACCACAGAAAGACTGTGGGAGGGATCTAGGGAGGATCTTGATGGGAGTGACTGGGAGGTCGAGAATGGGGTCTGGATAGGGTCAAGAGTGGGAAGTAGCCAGGGGACATTGGGAGATTAAAATAAACAATGGAGGGCTGGACTAGGGTAAGGGTAACAGAAAATTGGGTAATTGGGTGTAAGCCTTAATGAAAGACCAGTTGATGGGATTATAGTCTCAGGCAAAATCCAGATTTCTTTCTTTTTTTTTTTTTTTTGCCATTTGGGGAAGTCCAGGGTTTTTCCTTTCTGAGGTCCAGATCCCAAAGACATGGTATTTTCCTTTTAGGGGTTCAGATCCCATCTCCATCAGTGAGTTTAAACTCAAATGCATTTTAAGATGAATATGGGACATGCTATTCTGGATGTCCAATAGACAACTGGAGGTATGAGCCTGGAGGTCAGAAGAAAGGTTAAGGTTGGATAAGTAGATCTGAGAATCATCAGTACAGAGATAGATGATAACTAATTCCAAGGAAGTGGAGAGATCCCATGACAGAGCCCCGTGGGACATCCAGAGTTAGTGGGCATGAGACCTGGATGAACATCCAGCAAAGCAGACTGAGAAGGAACAGTAGAATAGCAAGAAGAGCAGTGTCATGAAAGCCTAGAGAGAAGAGTATGAAGGAGTATGTAACCTACAGTGTCAAAGGCTGCTGAGAGGTAGAGCAAAGTGAGGACTAAGAAAAAGCAATTAGATTTAGCAATTAAGAGATCACTGGTAACTTTGGAGAGAGCAGTTTAGGTAGAATGATGAGGTCAGGAACCAGACTGTAGAGTTAAGAAGAGAGGAAGAGGAAGCATTTATTACAGTCAACCTTCTCAAGGAGTTTAGCAACAAAACAGGGGAAACATAAAATGATAATGAATGGGGATGGATGGACCAAATGAGGGCTTTTTTTTTTTAAAGAAAGAGGAAAACATAGGCACGTTTGTAGGCACAAGGGAAGCAGCCAGTAGACAAAGAGGATGAAGATAATTGAGAGAATTAACATGATAAGAAGGGACAATCTGCTGGAAAAGACCAGATGGAATGGCGCCTAGTAAGCTAGTAAATAAATGCTTGTTGGCTAATTGACTGATGTCACTTTGGTTAAACTCATCTAATCTTAACCTTGTCACAAAAGAATTATGGACCAAAGACACTCCCTCCTTTCTGAACTTTGGTGAGAGTGGCTAAAGTAAGTAAAAGAATTAAGGAGTGCCCTTTCATTTATGTCCTAGCCAAAATGGTCATCCCACCACCTATCCCATGAAACCTCCTCTGAACATCCCCCCCCCACAAAAGCCATCTTTCTCAGAACCTCCACTTTCTACTTCTCTCACAGTGATTAGTATCATGTATGAATTGCCTTGATATCACCTTTCAGCCTTGCTCGAAACTACAGAAATTCCTTCAGTTAATCAGTCAATAAATATTTATTAAACGTTTACTGCATGCCAAGCACTTGGGTTACAAAGAAAGGCAAAAGACAGCGTCTGATCTCAAGGAACTCAGTCTAATGGTCCTTGCTTGACAAGGATCCTGGCTCATTCAAAGATGTAGGTTTGTGGAATACAGGAGTGAGGAGACAAAGCCTGTGTAATTCATAAATGGGATAACTGAGAACTGAGCAACACTCATCCGCACCTGCAGCCTAGCTGTCAGGCTGGCTATCTGTGGTCTGTGCATTGGTCTACTGTGTATGTGTGAGCATCCTGGGTCTGTGCATTTTGTGTGTACATGTGTGTTAGTGGGTTGTCTCCTCTATACGTGTACAAGTCTTGTTATTGGTTCTACGTCTGAATGTTATAGTATGCCAATGTGTGTAACCAGCCCAGAGCAGATTTGTGTAGTGGGTTGTAGCCTGTGTTTTATACCAACTCTCTGCGTGGTGTTGGGGTGTTGTGTGTCTTTATTTATATTGCAGTATTTTTGTTAGTGTATTTTGGAGAGTTGATTTTTCTGTGTTGAACTGTGTTGTGCACGTTGGAATGTTGTGTGTGTTGTATGCTAGTGTGTTGTGCTGGTTGGAGTGTTTAGTGTGTATTGTATGCTAGTATATGTATATGGTGGAGGGGGCTTTTGTATGTAATTAGCTAGCGTGCACGTGTTGGAATATTCTGTGTTGTCTGCTAGGGTGTATATGTTGGAGTGGGTTTTTGCAAGTTGTAAACTTGTGTGTGCGCTGGAGCAGGTTGTGTATGTTGGGCGGTTCGTTGTGTGTGCACCTACGGGAGTGGGTTTTGCAGGCTGCAAGCTAGTGTGTTGTGGACGTTGGAGCGTCGTGTGTGCATGCTGGACGGAGTTGCGCGCCTGGGTATCCTCCGGGTGCATCCAGGTGGGCCAACATCTAATGCCCTGCTCCTCCGGTCGGTGCCGCAGGGAATTGTCTGGAGGGGGAGGAGGGAGGAGGAAGGGAGCGCTCTCGCGGGAAGGCCCCAAATAGGGCCGCGGCCCCTTTAAGGCGCCAGCTCCCTGGCGGCGGCCGGAAGTGTAGAAGTCCGGACTGGCGGCGCTGGTGGCTGCGGCAGCGGCGGTTTCTGCGCATGCTCCGTCGGCCTCCCGAACTCGCCGCCCGCCGCCCGCCCGCCGAAGACGGTGAGGAAGAGGAGGGGGGAGGGGTGGGCGCGCGGGCTGCGGCGGGGGTGGGGGGCGGAGGCGGGAGCGGGGGCCACGCGGCGGGAGGGGGGGCGAGGCAAGCGCGGGGGGGGGGGGGGGGGGGGGGGGGGAGCGACGGGGCGACGCTGCCGTGGCCGCCGTGGC